ATACATTGTTTGGGTCAGAATTATAGATTTTTCTTTTATGCCAAAAATCATTAGGATATTAAGTAAAGATCATGTTCCATGAAGATATTTTGTAAATTTCCTACTGTAAATATATTAACTTTTTAAAATTTTATTTGCACCCTCAGATTCCAGATTTTCAGATAGTTGTATCTCGGCCAAATATTGTCCTATCCTAACAAACAATATATCAATGGAAAGCTTATTTATTCAGCTTTCACATTATGTATAAATCTAAGGGTCCAGGGTCACACACATATATATATATTGGAAAGTATTCAGACCCCCTTACATTTTTCACTGTTATATTGCAGCCATTTGCTAAAATCATTTGTTAATTTTTTTTCCTCATTAATGTACACACAGCACACCATATTGACAGAAAAACCTACTTGGAGCACAACAAACCTGGTGTTCTTTACAGGATGTTTGTTGTTGTTTGTTTGTTTGTTTGTTTGTTTTGGACATCATAATCACAATTTTAACCAGAAAAAAAAATTCGCAACTAGAACCCCTCCCAAATTGTGCATCCCTACTTGTTAAAAATGCAAGATAACTGAAATATCCCCCAAAACAAATCAGGATAAATAACCAGCAGGCTAATATTGTTACAATAATTTTTAATTAATCAAGAGAAACAGAAATTGTGATCATAATTAGGGATGCATCGATCCGATACTCAGGATTGGTATCGTCTCTGATACTGGCATTTTCTGCCGGATCGGGTATCGGTCAGACGAGACCGTTCCAAATCCGATATTGTGCGTATACTATTGTGTTATTGTTAAACCCCACGAAAGCACAAAAACATTATAAAGCACCATAATGTCAAAATACATGTGTTCTGAAGCCGTTCCATAGTTTAATGTGAGGTACAGACACTAATCTATAATGGAGAACTGGATTGCTCATGACATCATGAAAGTGAAGCCGCCGCGCCGCCATATTAGTATTCCCCACTATTCCCATACATTCCATTAAATTAAGAGGAAATCATAAGAATTTAATGAGAAAACATCACCTAACAAGTCAGCGTTTTTAAGTCTTAAGTATCCCTGTACATTCTTACAATGCAAACACCCTAGGCATGTAAACCGTTATTTGTTTAATGTAATTTTGTTAGTGTTTTTATTCGTACAGTAGGCTAACTGCAAGTGTTTCAACAATGATTTCGTTACCAGCATTCATATTGAAGCAGATAATGATTTAAACGGTGGTTAAATTAATTATTAATTTTACATATAGGTTATACATAACAGTTTACATGGAAACGGTAATGCTAGTAAAACGCCATATTTGTGCGATCGGAAATAGATTTTGCTCAATCAGGACATTAAAAATATACACAACTTAAGAGAAATTAATGACTACTGTACATACAGTACGGATTAAAGACATGAAGCTTTATTTCCAAGATGATGCATGTTAAGCTTTTCATTTCAGTAGCCTATAGAGCAATATAGTAACAGAGGCTTGTATAATATTATTCATTGTATATTCAAATCAATTTCGGATACTAATACGTTCATGTTTAATAATTCATGAATAATTACGTACATAAAGAAATTGGCTATTTTGTGTTGGATCAGTTAACATTACTTCTGTTGGCAAGTGTGCTGCAGCAGACACACCCACCCACCTTAACAATTTAAATATATCGCTTATCCTGCTCAAAAAGATCATAAACATTGCAGATAACATCTTAAGTAAAAATTAATTTACATACACATGACTTAAAAACTAATCCCGTGTGATTGATTCGCTTCAAATCGGGTGATTTTAGGTCAGCGGTTTGGCTGTGACTCAATGGTGCTCTCTGCCGGTAGGGAATAGTAAGATGGCGGCTCGAACACTGGCTTCACTGCCGGTCGGCAGTCATTATATATAGATCGGTGGGTACAGATGAATATTTAAGCAATTAAATTCAAGTTCACAACTCTTCTCTCTGCTGCAGCTGTCTGTCATCCTCCATTCAGCATTCAAACTGCATCGGTTACAACAGTCAAGAAGATGAAACTTTCTCCAAGAGCGCACAGTAACTGAAGTTTAAAACTGTTCAAAGAAAAGGCTCAATAAACTATCACACAGATTTAATAAACTACGCATCAATATCTCTTTCCTTTGTGCTTTGAACTAGAGGTCTGCGTATGGAGCCAGATCAGCCTCAAAAATAATGTTTACAAAACAAAATTCATAAATGCACAGCACAATTTACATTTACTAAATCCAATTTGTAAATTCAAAACACAATTCATAAATACACAAGTAAAAGCATAAATGTAAAATGTTTACACAAATATGTATATATCAAGTTCTTGAATTAATTTCCATCACACGTTTATGAATGATGTTACATGTATTTATGGATAGTTGAATCTGCATTTGCAAATCATCACACGTGCATGGAGTGCTTTGAATTTGTGTGTGGTATTTTTGAGACTTTCCTGACAGGTTAAGATTCATAAATATCTTTTTTTGGAGGATGTGCCGTTCAGCCAATCGCGGTGCACTTAAGTTTAAGTTTATAAAACAATGCTGAAAGATACTGGCTATACTTCTCTATACATACTTGATTGTTGATTATTTTTCTATGTTCTTAGTAGTGGTCGACCGATATATCACCAAGATATTTGACATTTTTCAAATATCGGCATCGGCTGATAAGTTTTTCTGTTTGGCCGATGCGTTCGAGGTGGGACTTTTGTTTTGATGGCGCTGATAACGGCAGTGTCTGAGCACACAGTGCTCACATTATCCCTCTTGTTCGCCGTCGTCGTTAACAGTTCTGTCTAATATGGACAGAAGTCTGTCTAATAATCAGATAGAACGGTTAAACAAATATTTATATTATTGGTAATAGAAAGGCAAACATTATAATACTTGTTTGCTGTCAGCATTCAGCAAATACACGTTTGTCATTTAAACAAATCTTTGAATGGCTAATGAAATTTAATTTCACAAACCTTGCATACTTAGTCTAATCCAGTTGTGAGGTCTTGTGAAGTGTGCATGTGTATCCTGCATGATCGCGTGTTCTCTGCGTGACTTTCGGTGCAAATTTAATGCTTTAAACATTCAATTCGTGATTTGAAATTATGCTGTGTTTATGCATTTGCCCACTGTCATATTCATGTCATTTTCACTGTGTGCTGTATATAAAATGAGTGTTACCTTGGCTTTATTTGGAAAAATATATATAATCCCATATCATAATGCACACAAACTTCCCAGAATATGGAGTGCTCTGTTGGTTACAGTGTTTACTACCTTTTTAATTATATTTTTATTAAATATTAATTTATTTGTGAAAAATAATTTGTCATCTAAAGTATAAGTATGTTTATTTTACAAATTAATTTTTTTATCCATTTTCAAATGATTTTAAATTTCTTAAATATTAATTAAAATAAATAGTTATATCGGCTTTATATCGGTCATCGGCCACCCTGCCTTCCAAGATATCGGCATCGGCTGTCAAAAAAAACAATATCAGTCGACCACTAGTTCTTAGGATAGTCTTTGGTATTTTTATAAGACTATTCATCTTTTATGTCAATGGTTAGCATGCAGAACCATTAGCATTTAAATTGTATGGTGTTTTAAAGTTTTGAACTGAGGATATTCGGTGCATCCCAATTCACGTTCATATGCCGTTTTGTATCCTAAATTGTGAGATCAGTGTATTTACACTGAAATGTGGAATATTGCACACTATATGCACTCAACAGTTGCAGCTTTCTTTACTGTCAGGCTCTGATGCTGGATGAGACACCCTTCTAAACAGAAAGTAAAGTGCATAGTTTAAGTACATAATATATAATGTCATTTGGGATGTATCCCTTATATTCAGTGTATTAAATGTTTGTTTCAGTAGATACATATGAAGAAAATGGTAAATGAGCTGTGCTGACTGTGGAGCCCCATTTAAAAAATAAGGTTAAATGCAACTTTTTATACAATAATCCTTTATTTGTTGCAAATCTGAGTTGACATTTTTAATTTCTGACTTTATCAGAATTGTGTTTATTACACCGGATTCAAAATTAGACTTGATATTTAATTTGAGTTAAGATCTCAAAATCCAGTTTTTTGTTTTGTTTTTTGTTTTCAGATTGTACGTATCCGTTGGTCCATTTAACAGCATGAAAAACAAAACATGTATTACAATTCTGAAAGGATTATATATGGCCAAGAAAGCAGCAAAGAGCGCTCCCTTTATAATCTTTTAAGAGCTGTCAATCATTTCATTTTATCGCAATCTCCATTATAAGTTCCATTATAATAAATTAATCTCTGCACAGTGCATAAAGAATAAAATATGCAAATGTATTTGTTTTTTTTAATGTAAGGCTGAGACAGAATAAACATATGTACAGATGTATTAGGTAAGCCTATATACTAAGGGTAATGTAATGTGCTGGAGAGGTAGCAATGTGTGTAAGTACACCGGTATAAAAAAATAAGAGTGAGTTTTCATAGGATATCACTCTAAAAGGTGGGAGTGTTGCACTGAGGGGGAGGCATTTAACAGTTCAAAGAGGTTGTGGCCAGCGTGTGAGTCCATGCACTTCATGAAATAAGGGATACAGGAAATGTAATTCTACGTTACTTAATAATGAGGGATTTCCTTTGCTGTGTGTGTGTGTGTGTGTGTGTGTATTTATTTATTTATTTATAGGTTATTAATAGTTTTTCTTTTCTTTTCAAGTTGGTAACCCTCTTCCAAATGTGGGTGGTTCCTCTGTACTTCACCACTAAGCTGCACTGGTGGAGGTTTCTGGTGACATGGTTCATCTTCTCTGTTGTTACGGCCTTCATCTCTTTTCGTGCTACCCGCAAACCACTGGACTGCACCACACCAAGGTAACAAAAAAATTAATCATGATCAGACTTTGAGCCCGATGAGCTGTGGTTGACTTTCTCTGCCCGAGTTTGTTGCCTTTTATCAACTGTCTCTGTTTGAAGTGCGGGTGTGCGATATTGACAAAAAATTATATCTCAATATTTTGGGGGATTTTGAGAACAACATTGAGACAATATTTTGTGGAGTGTTTTTGTGCCAGTACCTTGGTTGGTTTAGGTCTGTCATGGACAGGTTACTCCCGAAGCTTTTCATATTCTGTGTGAAGGCTGGTTCACAGCAGTGACAACGTTTTCTACTAGGCTATATTTGTTTTCTACGAAGCAATATTTGTATAAATATAATGTTATGATTTTTAAAAAACAAAATCAAAATGATTCGTTAAGTATAAAACATAAACTGCCAACAGGTGGTAACAAGTCACTGTTTTTAATGAGTCATTAATTCGTTCAAATGGCTTATTCATTCTTCAGCGCTTTTGCCTGTGTGATATTCAGGGTTTGAAATGAATAAGGCTTTTTTCACTCACCAGCCAGTTTGGCACCTAAATTAAGTTACCTGCCATTCAGCAGAGGTGGAAAGTAACGAATTACATTTACTCGCGTTACTGTAATTGAGTAGCTTTTTTGTGTACTACTACTTTTTAAAGTAATTTTTAAAATCTATCATTTTACTTAAGTATATTTTGTTTGAAGTATTGTACTTCGCTACATTTTAAAACGTTACGGAGTAAAAAAATAAATAAAATCGCTCCCTGGAAACTACTGCTGTAAATAGTGGTCAGGAGAATAAACTGGCGCTAAAATCACAAGAAAGATGGAGACGACGAGACAGGTGTTAGTGGTGCAGACCCAGTTGAAAACGAAACCCCATCGTATTCTGCTGAAGTTGAACTCGAAGGAAATAAAGTGAACCCCTGGCCATATTTATGCTCTATTATGCAGTGTAAGCTGTGTTTGCCTAGGGAGACCAAACTAGCAGCTTATAAAATCTCGACATCAACCCTTCGCAAGCGTGTGGAGTTAAGGTAAATACTTGCATTGTTGCATTGGTGGTTAAAATGAAGCTTTGACAGTTTAACAAAAGGTTTTGCACAAATTAGCCAAAAAGACAGTGGTGCAGGGTGTGCGATATATATATATAGTCTGTGATAATATCCTAATTGTTGTTTTAACGATGTGCGATTTGACATTATCAGTATTTTGCCAAAAACCAAACAAAACACTCCTACAGAGTGCCGTGAAGTCTAGTAGATTAGACTACTGCGTGCGCGCATTTAGAGTGCGTTCTTTTACTGCGTGATAGTCTTTTAAAATGCATTTAGAATTATCACAAAATTGAAGATATAGGGGCAGAAAATTTATATATTTATATAATTTCATATAGTAAATCAGTATCACGCGAAGAGTGCTGTTTTTTCCTCCAAAAATCAACATGATTACATATAGATTTTTTTTTTTTTTTTTTTTTTTTACAACAGTTCAATAAACAAGTTAATTAAAGGGTGGTCATATGATGTTGCTGAAAAGAAAATAATATTGTGTATTTGGTGTAATGAAATGTGTTTATCCGGTTTAAGTTGAAAAAAACACTATTTTCCATATACTGTACATTATTGTTTCTCCTCTATGCCCCGCCTTTCTGAAACACGTCGATTCTTACAAAGCTCATCATTCAGAAAAGCGAGGTGTGCTGTGATTGACCAGCTATCCAGTGCATTGTGATTGGCCGAATACCTCAAGCATGTGATGGAAATGTTACGCCCCTTACCATACTGTGATGCCGTGTCCCGGCCGGAGCGAAGAGACAAAAACATTAAAACCTATTATAAACAAGGCATTTGTTGCATCCAGTGGGGACATAATTAAGGATTATAATGACTTGTACTGTCTTTTTACGCGTTGTATCGCATCGCGCCACATAAACATAAAACCATGTCTGCATTTGTGATCGGACAAATGACAAACAACAAGCGCTATTGTAGTCTAATCTCCCAGGATCAGGAAACAGTCCTCCATAAAATGCGCTGCACACATCTGAATATTTGGGTTGAACTGTTCTGGAACAGTGTTGTAAATACAACTTAACCACTGATTTCTAGTCGTGTCCTCTTTTGGAAGGCCAAATAAAGAAGTTTCGCTTTCACAACGAAACACCCAGTGTCACACACGGTGGGCTTGAGTGAGCGGAGGCCGGCGGGCTTGAGAACGGCACAGCCAGCGGGCTTGCGGTAACCACATGTGACGACCCCGGGCTGGTCTCCGCTTCGTCCACGGTGAAAGCCGATCCGGCGATCCACAGCGCAAAGTTGATGTATTTCCTCAGCGATCAGCACGGATCAGCTCTAGGCATGATGAAGCGGATATCGTCCTCTTTTGGAAGGCCAAACAAAGTAGTTTCGCTTTCACAACGAAACACACATGTGGGGGCGTGTTAGAATTAGACATTTTAGGTAGGCGTGGTTGACTTAACTTTTATAAAGAATATCTCTTTGGATTTGAGACTTTAGTCTTTGCAACTTTACAGATCTTCTTTATGCACTTAGAGCTTGTAACACTCCAAAGAGAAAGGAAAAATTTAAATCGCATCATATGACCCCTTTAAGAGACTTTTAGACACCATATTGCATGTTTTTGCTCTATTTTGACAACAAAAATATTTCCAAACACAGCCACCATATAGCACAGTTTTGCGTCTCTATGCAATGACGGTGTTTCATTCATGAATGAATCGACCGTTTAAATGACTCGGTTCAATCGCAATGACTCACTTATTAACAGTGACTTGCTGACACCTACTGGCGGTTTTAATTTCACATTTAAAGTATCTTTTGATTTTTATATATTTATTTTTTTTATATATATATATATAATTTCAAATGAGTATTCAACATTTTATGTCTTATATATCAAAACATTATTTCTGCATTTTCTTTTGATTTTTATATATATATTTTTTTTATATATATATAATTTCAAATGAGTATTCAACATTTTATGTCTTATATATCAAAACATTATTTCTGCATTTGTAACTGCAGGTTAAATGCATTCATGTCCTGCATTAAACGGTGTGTAATTTTGTTGATACTGATTTAATTTGTCTGGTAACAGCACAAATGTCTTATTATTCTAAATAACCGATTCCTTTAATTAAAAAAAAAACTGGTTTGAGATTTATAGGCCTATCCCGGGGTGTCAAACTCAATTACTGGAGGGCCGCAGCCCTGCAGAGTTTAGTTCCAACCCTGCTCCAACACGCACCAAGTAGTTTTCAAATAAGCCTAAATGATTAGATTAGCTGGATCCAGATGTGTTTAACTAGGGTTATATCTAAACTAGGGCTGGACGATATGGCCAAAATTGATATCACGATATATTTCTTAATTTCGGTACGATATAATTCCAATATCGATATGAACACTATTTATCTGAAATATAAATCTTTTGTAACATTATA